ATATATATATATTATACGAATAATACGAATATAATAATTTGTACCTTACTATATCCATAGCATGATATATCACATCAGACTGATCAACACTTATAACCTTACACTTTGCCGCCTATATATATATATATTTAGATATACGAATATAATAATTTGTACCTTACTATATCCATAGCATGATATATCACATCAGACTGATCAACACTTATAACCTTACGACAACCAGACTTTGCCGCAAACATTGACAGGATACCAGTACCGCAACCAACATCTAACATTATACAGTTATGAAATCTGTTTGAATTTGTTAAAAGTGCATCGCGATAGCTTTCTGTTCGTACTTTATCCTGAAACAAAATATTTCTTTTATTATGCGTTTTTAAATAAAATATATTAATCATTATTCTATCCTTTTTTTAAATATACTTAATATTTCTTTAATTAGAAATGAAATTCTTCAATTTATTATTTCTTATAATCTTATAATCCCAAATATTTATATAATCAGTTGTGATTATATATATATACAAATTCTCATTAAATTGATTTGACTGATAGAATTGATTATAAATTACTTACTGTTAACATTTCGTGATGTATAGCAAAGTGACTGTACGTATTGAAGTAACCTTCATCAACATTGGGATTGTGAGCATTGACCAGAGTATTTTTTTCCTTTCCGTCTAAATCATCACCTAGTATTAACTTCTGAGCTTTCTCTTTCATCTCTTCCATTTGCTATAAAAAATCATTTTTCTTAAGTCGCAATACATATCAAAATATGTTTGATTATATATTTATACCTGCTTGACTAGGAAACACGTTGTCTCGCTTTCCTTCAGCTGAGATTTAAGTGATCTTATAGTTCTTTTCATATCCTCATATTGTGTTTCCGGTAAAGTGACACTATCATTAGTTTGGTATATTTGTTTTGCTTCTTTTTCTTCATTCACATCCTTAATGTTGATGAGATCTTCAATATCTTTATTAAAATATAATATTTTACAAGTCAGTGTATATAATTTATGTAATATCATCAACAGAAAAATTGCTTCTTAGATTTTTTATACTTACCATACATTAACCATGGGTCATCCTCCACAACTGGACGTAAATTTTCATCCTTATCCCAAGCTTCTATACCCAGTGTACTCAATTGTTCAGGCGAAATCTCCTTATAGCGAATAAAATTGATTAACTTGATATATGAATAAGTATCGTGAATGTGTTTCTTTATAAAATCGCAGAAGTTAAACTTGTGAAAGGTCTTGATGTGATTAAGTGCAGAGGGAAATCCATTAATGGTTTCCATACAAAACAGACACGAAATGTCATGATGATCCTCATCAATTTCCTCCCAATCATCTCCGCTGTCACTGTCGCTTGACATACCATTATATTCTAGAAAAAGGAAAAATGAAAAGAAAATATTTATAGAAATTCATTAAAAAATATGTAATAATACATGTAATAACCACATAAAAAACACATCTTTCATACAAAAAACAAATATTTCAAGAAATGTATTATTCGTACTCCACAAATTAATTGCTTCACTTGCCGATTGTGCCACGCATTACAAATTAAACGCACTACAATTTCTTATCATTTCGTGATTTATTACACTCGATTTTCATTAATATTTTACCTAATTTCGCCATGAAAAACTCCACTTTCTTCGTGATGTTAACCGTAAAATCGGTTCGGAACAACTATCAAAGACCTTATCACGCGAGTTGAGAGCACGTGTTAATGTGATTGAGGCAGCAGTCTCTTCTCTAGTACTCTAGTGTAGAGTTCGCACTATATACCCGTTATTACGACGATACCGAGCGGGTCAATAAAAACCAATAACGACGTAAACGAACATGAATGGGCCCTAGTCCTAACATGAAATACTGTAATATAATTTAATATTCGTAAAATTCTATACTTTTTAAACAATATTCGATCACACTTTTGCAGACATAGATAAAGAAATAGAATTAAAAATCCGAGATGTATCAGAATCGGGAAAATAATTTAAGATAATCGAAAACAACACGTCATTTATTATGGCCTTTCAATTAAAATGATTTACTATAACATTTTTATATGTAAAAGTGTTAATATGTACTAATGACTATAAAAATTTATTTCAGACACATTTTTATGAAAGTTCAAATATATTTCTAGTTTCTAGTTTAATATATATATATATACAATTGTACAAAATATATACATATTAAATTTTTTCTATGATTGCATTAGGCACGTAATATATGAATGATGATGAGAGAGTAAATAATTAATGATAAAATTTATTTGATTCACAGGCGAAAGCTATGAGAGAAACGTAGTTATCGGTCGGGTTTCGTAGTTATCGCTTGACGTTGGACGCTTAACAGAAGTAACAACAGCTTCGGCGTCCCCAAGTTTCCTTTTTATGCCATTCTCGCCCGACGCGGGCTTGTTAATCTCGCGGTTCAAATTTTGTGCGACGTGAAAATCCACATGTTCGCAAAATTTTGTTATGGGTATCATTTGATCGCATTCGGCGCATCGCTCCAGAGGCACGTTGCGCTCGCTCGAATCAATTTTGATCAGAAAATTGTACAGAGGATTGCGTCCTTTGCCATTTTTGCCGGCGATTTTGGATTTGCTGGCTCTTCCTTTCCCCGTCTTTGGCAAATCTCGAACCACCTTTACATTCTCTTGCTTCTTGTCTCGCGATTTCGTATACAATCTTGCTTCCTCCTGCAAATCGACCGGCAACAGTGGCAGAATATCGGGATCTATATCGTCCAAATTTGGAAATATATCTCGTAATCGTACCGAGGGATCTTGCACTGAAGTTTCTTCATTGCTTTTCTTTGTAGAATCTGCGTCGTTACTACTTACATGGGTATACGCGCGACTCGTGGAAGGTTTTTCTTGAATGTCCTCCTGTATGCACAAATTAGAATTGTAATCATCGATGCTCTCGTTATTCGCATTTTTTTCATTCATGCTAGATTGTTCCCCGTATTTGAATTCTTCCATATCGATATTTCCATCGATATTATCAGAACATTCCTTCTTTCCAGTCTTATATATATTCATAAAGAACGAATCTTGAAAATCGTTGTTATTTATTACCACGTCCGACAGACGTTTATCTTTTAACTTGGCCTTATCGCGCTCGTTGCAGACCTGGATTAATTTGACAACTCTTTTTGACATCGGCGAATCCTCCGCGCTCATATTTAAAGAATTATTGAAGGTTCTTTTACTTGTTTTAATCATCGGTTCGCTTGTCGTTGCGACTGATTCTTTGATCAAAGTAGATTCTTTAATTTTTTTAGGCTTCTCCTCCGTTCTTAAAAATGGATCTTCTTTATTGATAATAGTAAATGGCTTTTCTTCTTTTATTTCTAAATTAACTGAAGAATTTATCATATCTCTAGACGAATTTTCCGATTTATCAGTTTTAGAATCTGCCTTGTCACTTTCTTTATCTTTCGACCTGATATTTGTGAAAAATTTTAAGAAGCTACCACTCTCCTTTGACGGTATAAATTTACTAGCAGAAATGCCCATATATGCCACTGGACATTGTGTTGCCTTGGTAATAACGTCCACACATTGACTTGCTATTCTGTCTGGTTTGTACGAATTCAAGACGAGCGAACGTGTTTGTGATACAATACTTCTGTTCTGATAATAATGATAAAAAATGGTGAGTAACGTCGCGCGTCGCTGATTCTCCTCAAAATCTTGTTCAAGACGTTCACAAACTTCCGCAGCCAGATCTCCAGCCCAGTGCTTTAACTATATATAAAATACATATGTCTATTTAAAAAATATAATCATAAAACTTCTTATTTAATCTATAATTGGACATTTTTCATATAACATTAGAATTTATATTAATAATCTCTTACCACTTCTAAGGAGGTAATAGCTTGCTTTCCAGGGAACTTTTTACATGCAGCAACAGACTTTGACAATAATCTGTTAATGACAGGTTCGTCATCTATACCTCGTGCAAGATTGTACAGCCAAAAACTGAAGAATCACAATTACAAATTGTCAAAAATAACAGGCTATTAATTATTATCGAATCTTGTTCTTAAAAGTTCGAGGATCTGGCTTACCCTGTTTTTTCATCAAATCGTTTTTGTAATTGTTCCAAAGAATATTGCAATAAATCTCCCATAACATTGCAAGCAAGAGATTCGACCACAACATCGCCAAATTTTCCACCAAGATTTCGAACTTTTTTTACTGGCAATGTGGAATAAAGTTTTGGAACAGCTGCCTCAGGTAAAATTGTTTGGCAATTCGGTTTATGTAATCCACATGCTAATTTTGCTAATATCTATTAATAAAATTTCATTTAGTTAATATGTAAGTCATAAAAATGATGTATAATATAAAATATAGAGAATATGGCGAGAATATTTGTACTTTATTCTGTGAAATTCCAGCAGAACACCTGAAACTAGTTTCTTTATATATGCTAGCCCTTATTTCTTCAACTATTACACCAGCTATAGCGAGTTTCTGAGCTTGAGTGTCATGCAGTTCTTTAAAAGAGTCAGATATCCAAGTCAGTAGCCCTTCAGATCTCTCTTCTAAATACATATATTTAAAATATATTTAAAAATAGTTCATTTTTAGAGTTAGCACAGTATAATTTTTACATTACCTTCATCATTTTTATTAATTTCTGAATATCCTACAATATATGTATTTGCAAGAGATGATATTAGTTCCTTTGGAGAAACATTAGTTGTAGTAAATCTCTTATCAACAATATCTGTAATATCAAGATATGCCTCATCGACACTGGCACGTTCTATCACATTACAATGTTTTTTTATGACTTCAATAACCTCACGACCAGCTTTCCTATATCTGTATGGATAGCACAAATTATTAAACGCTTAATGCATCAAATGTTGAATTATATGATATATATAAATAAATAATTAATGCACTGCACTCATAGAAATTGATTCCAATAGCAAACTGCTACCTCGATGTGTCTGCTTTTCCACGAAGACATGGCACACTAACTAAAACTATATTCGGACATTTTTCTTTAGCTTCCTTGCCCCTCATGTGTCTGGTTACTCCAAAACTCCGTGCCTCGTAATTGACAGCTATTATACTGCAACCAATCAAAAGTACTATCATTTATCACAGACATACTTAGACTTTTAATCAAAAATTAAAATCTGGTATAAGAAAATTGCCACAAATTCCTTTCAATGAAGTTATGATAAATAAACAAAAAGAAGTCGGATTAATTCCGGAAAGATAAGAAAGCAAATACATTTTTTAAAAGTAAAGTATTAATGAGATAAATTTTCATTGTTGATTGAGGTGGGAGGTAATTTTTATCGAGTAAAGCATCAAGAATAAATGAAAAATGAAAGCTTGTAATAATATGTGTAATAATATGTGTAACACATATATAAGTAATTAAATAAAATAATTAATAGATCTTTCTTACCCGCCCATTTCCCATTGATTATACTGAACGACAGCGAGGGGTTTTCCTTCATGCTGTGGTTGTAGCTGCGTCTCAACCTGACAGAAGAAGCAATCCATGTCGATCAGGACGACGATTCTTTTAGTAGAATTTGCCATTTTCTTTTGCCGAAATTATTTTATAAATTTAATACGTCAATTAATAACTATAAAACATTCTTCTAGGTCAGTTAATGCGAGCGATTTAATATTGTTCGCGGCTCCATTTTTATACGATAGGTTGCAACCGAAGATTGTCTAACAGTCTAACAAATCTGTTTAAGTCTGATCTTGATCAGTTGTTTACAAGGCGATCACCTTGCAATATTTGGCGGGATTCGAACATATGATTCCGTCCATAGACATTAAATAACATATAGACGGAGCTTGCACAATTCAGTCAGAATATTCGTCATAAACTTTATGACGCAATAGACGAAAAATATTATCGCTCGTTATATAATTCATCCAAAATGGCGTAGCCAATCAAAAATTCGATATCGTCTAAAAATTCACTATACACATGCAAACGCAAAACATCCACGCGCAAAATTTCAGAACAGCCCTCATATTATGTATACACGGAAGAGAGAGACAGTACGAAGTACGAAGACCCCTTTCGCGAGAGCTTTTGTTGTTCCGTTTGTTTACACGATTCACGATTCACGCCGTATCGTGTGCGTGCGTGCGTGCCGTGTCGTTGCACCTCATCGTGTTGTGTGTCGTGAAATCCTATCCGCGTGAAAACAGCATGCCCAGCAAAAAGAAAAAATATAACGCTCGTTTTCCAGCGGTAAGCGAATATATACTGGCGTGCGGAAACACTTGAATGATAACCGATGAGAAATCAATTTTTGTCAATCTTAAATCAACTCGCTTCTCGGTGACGCGACATTGGACGCACGCGACGATTGGTTATCAAGGAGAAATTTTCGATCGAGCACGATATTCGACGCATATCGAGTTGACATAACCTAACGTCGCGTGTCTGTTGTCAGGGTCGTATCAAGAAGATTATGCAGACGGACGAGGAAGTCGGGAAGGTCGCCCAGGCGGTGCCAGTCATAATCTATATCCTTTTTTGATGTCTCTCGCGCGGGCATAGATTTGTATAGGCTTCACATTTGTCTAAGATATAATCGCTTACATTTGCTATGCTTATTATATTTCCTTAACAAAGTTTACCTAGGACCTTAGAGCTGTTTGTACACTCGTTGTTAACGAAGACTATGCAGATCACGAGTGCCAAAAATGCTAAGACTCTAAGTCCCTCTCACATGTGAGTAAACAATTGTGTTTGGATATATTGAATAAAGCAGATTCATCCAGAATCATTTAGTATTTACATCATATGAAGGCAATCGTATATTTGTTTCTTTATATCTCAGCGAGATGATAGACAGAGGATAGTTTTACTTGCAGGCAAATACTTGTACAGACCTGGTATAAAGGAACCTTCTCTTGTAAAATATTTTCTAGATTATCTCTTTGCAGGAAACAGTGCATCTTATCAGAGAGCCGATTCGATTTTCTGAAGGATCTAGTGAAGTCTTTGCCTGATGTGTCAGGACCTGATGATGAGATACCGACATCACCAGAAACTCCCGCTCCATTGCAAATCAATCTGCCAAACACAGCCGCTACATGTCCTACCACAACGCAGCAACCTGACAGGAGGATCCCAATTTATTGGTCGTAAGTGGAATCTCGGAAAATAGTTTAGAGTTTACTCTTTCTTTTTTTTTTTTTTGCAATGAGAAGATTAACAGTATAATGATATATTATCATAAATTAAATTATAAGAGAACATTATGATTTTTTTCGAGCCTGAAATTATAAAAATTAGGAATGTCGTTGAATAAAAGAGGTTTTACCAATTTGCGGAGTTTTTATCTTTTTACAATCAAAATAATAAATTTAGTTTATAAATAGATTATACCTCAGTAAATCGCTGTATTTTTAGGAAGATGTCGTAAGACAGAGCGGCTATCCCTTTGAGCTTCATCATGTAACAACTAGGGATGGATATATATTAGCTATGCATCGGATACCACCTAAAAATGTGAATAAAAATACGCGAGTGGTATTAGTGATGCACGGATTATTGGGATGTTCGGCGGATTGGCTGGTAACGGGAAATCGGTCAATCGGTATCAAAAAATTAATTATTCTTTTAAACTTAGATTTTTACGACAAACGTCGGACACGTTGATTAAAAAATTGTTTTTAATTCTTAGCTTATCTCTTGTCCGACAATGATTACGATGTGTGGCTCGGTAACTCCCGTGGAACGACGAATTCGAAAAATCACACAAGACTTTCCTTGGAAAGTGCTCAATTTTGGGACTTCAGGTATCACAGCTCAAAAGTATACTATCTCTCATGTTTTTCGGTAAACTTGACGTTAAATTTCAATATTCGCCTCTTTATTTAAGCAGTGTTATTGCCATAATATATTTGAAATTCTTTAAATTCGTAAATAATTCTAATGGTGATTACATTCATGAATATTAACGTTCTATTTAGTTGGCACGAGATGGGTATTTATGATTTACCCGCTATGATAGATTACATATTATATAAAACCGGCCAGAAGCAGCTGTTCTACATAGGCTTCTCTCAAGGAACAACGCAGTTTTGGGTTCTAATGTCTCTCAAGCCAGAATATAACAGAAAGATCAAACTCATGTCGGCTTTAGCCCCCGTGGCTTATACGGGACACATTGGCGGCCTGTTAAGGCCTCTAAGTTACTTCGGGAATATTTTTAGTGTGAGTTGAATAGCTCTAATCCAATAAAGGCATTATCTGAAACTTGAAAACTTGAGAACAAAATAGTAAATAGTTAATAGAAACCAATTTCTTTCAAAACTTTCAATATTTTATTTCATATATATAAATTTCATATAATTGCGATTCATATCTCTGCAGATATCAAAAGCAACTGGGATTGCCAATTAGCATCGAATCGAGTGCGAATCATAATAGTATGAGAGACAATGGATCGACCGCAGTTTCAAGTAATTTAAATCCCGTTAACCAAAGGGCAGTAGGAGGGCATTCGCAGGTTCCAGAATTCCAAATATCCGTACCTGCATCCTTTCAAATTAGTCAACCAAATTTTTATACGGAGGTTAATCCAAACGCTAGTAATCAGCCGACATCGAACTTTGCTCACACTGCCAACATTGATGAGGATTACGACACATAATAACATCTCTTTATGAAATTTAGGAAGTTAAAACTTATCTTATTGGATACGTATGATTAGCTAAAAATGATGGAAAGGACGCGCTTGTACGTGCAACAGAATCATATGTTAAATCAACGTTGATTAACGCTTTCAGATTGAAGCAACTCTATATTTGCTTATGTCTATTTTTGTACAGAGTGTTTCAAAACTATGTTAAATATCTATGGGATTATTTAAGATTAAAAAATTTTTATTTTATTTATTTTTTAAACAGATTTATTTAAATGAAAAAAAAATTATAAATTATTGCAAACAAATAGCGTTTCTTAATTACCGTTTATAAACGTATGTTGGTCTTCTGCACCATCATGTATACAGTTACACAAAATATCATCAAATTCGTCAAATTTAGTTTTTTCTATTTACTGAAATAACATTCAGGATTTATCGTAATGGTCCACATGATTTTAAAGGCTGCAATAATCTGAGAAAGAAAATGTTATAGACAAATATTTAGTTGTTTCAAGCTACAATTTATGATAAAAAAAAAATCCAAAATTATTCTTTTTATATATAAAATTTATCTTGCGTTTTTTAAATAGAATCATTATAATTTTCTTTTCATAATTTTGTAGAGAGTATCGACAAATTTGAATTCAACTCGGAAATATTTTTATTTGTAGGAACAAAGAAAGATGCAACTTACGTAAACAAAGAATAAAGGTAATTTTTTACAGAAAAGAAAGATTTTTGATGTTTCTTTTATCGTAAATTATAATTTGCATGAAACAGAATGTTGTTCATAAAATTGTGTCTATAATTGTTTATAATTTATTTTTAATTGTTTTGTCTACAATTTTTTTCTCAAGTTGTCATAAATGTCTAAAATTGTATGGACCGTGATAATAGACATCCTATATATATGTAAGTTGTATATAATATATTAATATTAAAATGTAATATCATAAGCTAGGCGATTTGATCGATAGCATTGATATTGCATTGTGGTATATGTGTTCACAGATATGTCGTTGTATCTCATTTTGAAATTATTCAAACGTTTATCATTTACTTGAATTAAATCATGAAACACATTCTTAGGTGAAATTGTAAGAAAAAGAAAATGCAAAATTAATTCCACAAGCACGCTTGCATTTGATTGATAAACGCATATTTAACGTGATATATTTTTATTTATATACATATATTCCCTTAATATGTACATTATAGTGTTATCGTTTTCTTTGTTTTCTTTTTTTACCATTTTATAACTTTAACTCACGGAAGGCGGAGAGTGTAAAAAGATTATCTCTCTATAATAGTTATCTTTACAGAGTTATAAAAAAATAGAAGAAAGAAAATCTTTGTGTATGTATGTGTGTGTGTTTATCGAGGCTACAACAATATTCTCTATGCTTAAAAACGAAACGATGGAATGTAGATTCTGTGAAGACCGTTAAATGCACATATGATTTCGGTTACAACCGTGTATGTCAAACGCGAATACATCGAGTAATTAGATAAGACTAATCGACTATATACGCTTTATACTTTTCGAGCATCTGGAATATCTTTCTTTTTCCATTCACACACTCATCCTTTGAAATAAAGACCTTATGCTATTTAAATTCATCTTTTATTCGAGCAAAACAATAGACAATCCAGACTATAGAATTCAACCTATGTGCACATATCTTACATTTAACATGACAACTCGCCTCTTGACTCTATTATAATTGCAATTGTTCTAAAGGAGGGTATTTAGGTCATGGATTAGCATAGATATTCGTGTCGTAGATACAATATTTAAAATACCTCTCGTAATGTATTAAAAATTCGCTTTTAACAATGAAACTAGTCTTAATCCTTATCTCTGATTATTAAAGAATAATCAACACACACACACACATAATCGGCTGCGAACTTGAGGAAGGGTCGAAACTAATTCTGCTGCTAAGAGTGAATTCTGCGGACACCTTATTGATCAACTGTTAACAATAGTTTGAAAAATGGTTGAGCAAGGGTAGGAATTAGTTTTACCACTGAGAGCGAATTTTACGAACAGTGTAGTTTATATAATACTATATCTGTATTTTAAGTTATAAGTATTGATTCACGAATATCTGTGTTTGATGGCTCGTATTTGGTAAGATCTTCGCTTGGATTTTTCTAGAAAAAAAAAACGATTTATATTCATTTTGTTGATTATTTTATCGCAGTTTAGAATTTCTATGAATTTCTTTTACATGATTTCTTTTACATGGTTGCAAGAATATGAATTTTTATTATACATTATGCAATAATCTTGCGTATATTATATTAGAATAAATATATATATATATATATACTTTCAGTTTCTTTCTTTTTTTTTTAAGCTAAAAAAATGATTGAGAAATGCAGAAGCGAATGAGTGAATGTATAAAATGACAAGATTGAATAATGATTGATTTGGAACAGCGCATGTATATGTGTGGTAGCGAAAATTTTTTATGTATTTGTTTTTTATCATCCGCTACGTTTATTTACGCTTATCGAGGAAATGTCAAAGTTGTGACTGTCGGGTGTTGCATGACATATCGGCAATCTTTCGAAAATTCCAGCGGTTATAATCGCGCGAATTGAATATATAATTAATCAGGCGTAGAATTACCTTGAGAGACGACAAGGATTGTAACCAACTTTTTGCAAATTTGTGATGTAACATGCAAGAGGGACTATCGTAATCGCGAGCGGAAGTTCCGCGCGTTCGTTACTTGTCCGAAGCACGCTTCTACTTTTTACTCTCAATATCGCTCTCGGCTTTAGGAAATTCGTGTCATTAATAAAAACAATTATTCGAATACGTGAGCGACAAAAGACAGATAATGATACGAGCTAAAGAAGAAGGGAGAGGTTTACGGAAACGACTCGTTGCCGTGGAAGTAAATTTATCCAAACTTCAGTTTCCTTCCACGGTTTAAATGTGCTTATAATTTTCTTCAGGAAGAATATATAGGGTAAATAAAAGAGCGCAGGAAAATATTCTGCGAAAGTTTAAAGAAACGTTCGCATTATTTTACATAAAGCGTTATTTCTTAAAGAGCAAAAGTCTTGTACTATTCTAACAATTATACATTCCATTATTTGTATTTTTTATTATATATATACATATAAAATTGTGATCGATTGTGCTTATAAAATTGTTCGATAATTGAGTAATAATTTTTCGTGTCACTATATATTATATATTTTCCTTAAACTTGAAAACTTGAGAACAAAATAGTAAATAGTTAATAGAAACCAATTTCTTTCAAAACTTTCAATATTTTATTTCATATATATAAATAATTATAATTATTATTTATATCACTTTCTGCACAAAAAACCGAAATTATACGATTATATTTTATTACTTATATGAAGTAAAATCTTTTATACATATTTATAAATAAATTGGATTATTTTTTGTTACGAAAAAATTACGATTTCTGAAACAGTTTATTAAAAAGTAGTGTAAATTATGTGTAAAATATTTTTTTTTATTCCATGTTAATTATTATATATATATATATATATTCGTTCAATTTGGCAGCCCTATTTTAAGTACACTGGATTCTTCGAACTGCTGTCAAATTCGGTCGTGGAGAAAATTATGATGCGTACTTTTTGTCGAGAAGGCGCTAAGACTCAACCTATATGCGAATTGGTGATTTCCATGATCGGAGGCTTCAGCGACGGCGAAATGGATCATGTAAGCTATCATCATATAAGCCGTCGTGTCGTCCGAGCTAAACGTGATTCCGATTTGCGACTTACGTGAGATACGTAACATTTGTTACATATTTCCAGACGCATCTTGCTGAATATCTACAATTCGCGCCTGCAGGATGTTCGTTCAAGCAATTAATTCATTACGCGATGGGTATTCAAAATCCAGGTATCAATTCTGCAATTTGATTCGATTGCAAATTTACATAACAAAGATTTTCCGCATAGTTTCATAATGAAACGGTTTGTGTTCTCGTAAAAAAAATCACTTTCTTCTTGCAGGACATTTTCGGTATTACGATTATGGTATTTTAACGAATCTCCTAGTATACAGACGAATCGCACCGCCGGAATATCCCGTGGAAAGGATTACAGCCCCGGTGATTTTATACAACGGCCTGAATGATGTTTTGGCTCATCCGAATGTAATTAGATGAATTATTAATTAATTTGTCGTTAGAAATGCATATAGAAGATAATCATCTTTGTAATATCAACAAGACTCGATATCATATTTGATTGTAACATTATTTTAGGACGTTGAAATATTGCAAAGAAAACTTCCGAACGTTGTGGCGAAGTATACGGTTCGGCCAAAGCCATTGGGTCATTTCGATTTCGTGTACGGTATGAGCATACGAGATCTCGTTTACAATGATCTGATTGAAAAGATGAATTCAATTCCATGAAGGTAAGACGCGAAACAAAATCTTCGGATTTATAGTGATCTCTATCGATTATATATACCGATTTGTGATCTCTATTGTAGATGGCATCGATTAATAATTAAATGATCTCAATATCTTTAATTAACTAACTACGAAACTGAAACTATAGACGATAGAATTTTGTCATTAGGCGTCTGATCTGCCTTTCTTTTACATTGTGCATCATTAAAGAACAAAAGAATCCAAAAAGAAGGAAACTAGGTTGAAACAGAAACCAGGAAGGAAGGACACTTAATTACTTGGCTAATAATGAGGATCTTCATTGTTTTCGTTCAACATGCAAAAACAATCACGATTCACGGCTCTTTTAGATCTTTACCTCGTTGATCGAATAACAGTCTTTAATGGAATTATATAGGAGAAAATGCGACTACTTTGGTTGATCACGCATTGCCAATTTTATTATTTTGTCTTCCCATATAAATCTTGATATACGCATTCGTTCGAATATTATTCATATGTAATATTTGAGCGAGATGTTTCTTTCTTTTTAGAAAGAAAAGAGAGATACATAGTCATTGTATATATTAGTAAGAGTAATATTTTAGAGATAAATTTAATTAACACATACCCTCAAGTATTGCTATTTATTATATGTCATACGTATTTATAATACACTATTTTTGAGAGAAAATTTAATATGATATATTCAAAAATTGTAACTGTACCACAATAGTGTGGCTGTACGTTGACGAACTGAATCATAGTGAAACGTTGAAGCCGAGCGGAAGCCAGTGTGGAAGATGCTGAAACAAAATAAGATTTCTAGGATTCGTGTCAACATCCTGGCGCACATTCAATCTACAAAATATATTGCAAGTCACTTCACTTTTGCAATAATGCTCTTTAGAATTTATGTCAAAAAACGTTTCTTCTTTTTTTTTATCAGAATTCAGATATATTTTTCATTCCAATCGAATACAAATCTCATGTTATTAAAGTGCTTTTCGAGAATTCAATACATTTGTATAATATATCTAAATATATATATATATATAATTATAACGCTCGTATATATATATTAAATATAATAATTATTTTAATATAAATAAGAATCCGCGTATATATCTGCACTCGTGCAGATTCTATCAGCAACATTTAATGAATTTGATTTATTAATACCAAAAATCACATTTAATGTATCAAAGATATGTACGTTTCTAATAAATTGCAAGTCTTTTAATTCTGGTATCGAAAAAGATTATTAATATCTTAGACTCGATTAGATTCGTTTTAATTTACCAGATTCTTGAACGGCGCAAATAATTGCACTCTTTGAACGAACAAATAATTGTTTAATAATTGTACAAATATTTTGTCCAAAATGGCATATTCTTTTTGAATTTTCCTGCAAAAAGAACTATGCTATTCTCTATACTTATTTTAAGACTTTTTATACTCATTTAATCAATTCTCAAGAAACAGTCAATAATTCATGTATTAGCGAAAATGTAATAATACTTTGGTATATTGTTTTTCTCTCATATATTACATTATCTTGCTATTGCAAAATAATATAATACATGTAAATTTTATAAATTAATTATATATTTTAATTACATGTTTGTGTCCAAACGTAATGTAAAAAGCTTATTGACTAGTTACCGTCCTACGTCAAAACACGTATAAATAAAGAAATCCTTGAAATAAAAGAAGAGTTTTAAATCTTAGATGTTTCGATACTAAAAGGGAGCAAAATATGCATCTATCAATTAGTGTAAAACGTTTCTTTGTGTGTAAATATCATATTGTATTAATAATAAAATATCTACTTGAAACTTTTTGTTTCAACGATGAAGATCATTATATTTAGTATAATTATATTAATTATCTTATTGCCTTTGTTTCAACCTAGATATTCAATGAATATATGTGTGCAAAATTAATATCTGTCATATTTTGAATGCATTTTGATAAATCTACTCTCGAATCGCCTTGTGCACGCGTATGTGTATGTGTGCTGCTTTTATTTCTTACAACTAAATCTAATAATAAATCTGTTATAATACAGCTATATGTAGAAAATCTTTAAACTGGAATAATTCTATTTATCTTAACTGCCGTCACACTAGATCTTTAAAAATTATTGAGCAAATTTCATTGTTCTCTCTTTTTGTAACAACATATTATCATATATTTTATAATTTGTTCTAGCGATATATAACACAAACTTTTCAATCATTTTGACATTTTTTTACACAAAGAAGAAACGAAACTATACAATGTCAATTAATCTTTAATTATATACCGTGTAATTGCAAAGAAAAAAAATTTCATACAGCAAGAAGCAAATAAAAAGAAAAAAAGTTCTTTACATGCAAAAAGTAGATTGCATTTAAAAATGCGCACCGTGCTGCCATATCGATTACACATAAAGTATAATTATAACTATCGCGTTGACATTGTAACACATAAAAATCCATGAGAAATATCACATAAACACTCTAAAGAATCAATACAGAGAGCTGAGTGCGCGATGATGCAACGACAAAAAGAAAAGAGAAGGGAAAGAAAGAGGAAGAGTTTCCGAGAGCAATTTTCGATTAGTTTATGTAATAATATGTAAGTGACAAATTCTTGTTAAAAACAGAATGTATCACTGGTTTTCGTATTATTCTCTGTTAAAGCTATAATCAGAATGAACATTCATACAACCTTGGGCTAGGAGAGCAGATCAGGCTCAATTCCTGTATCGATGTGACGACTTCTTACCATCGCGATGGCTCGACTGTCGTGACTTGGATCGTGATTTTCTACTTCGATCCCGCGATCTGGATCGGCTGCTCCGTCGTCGGCTTCTCCTGGAAACATACGACCTCGATCGTCTGCGACCCCTCGAACGGCTACGCGATCTCTCTCGGCCGCCTCCGCGTGATCTTGAGCGCGATCCTCTTCGCTTCGCCGTTACGCGCGATGATTTGCTGCGCGATCGACTGTTCCTCCGCCTATCTCTGGAACGCGAACGGGATTTCCTCTTACGGGAGCGCGATCGCGATGACCACTTCCTGCGATCGTCGGGAGACGCTGATCTAGAGCGTCGACAGCTTCGCGAGCGCGATCTCGCGCGCTTCCGATCGCGCGATCTCGTGCGTCGCTTCTTGTTGGATCTATGATCACTGGAGGAACGCGAAGATCGCGAGCGATAGTTCTTGCGCAACTTGGCTGATCTCGAGCGCGAACGCCGCTTATGCGCCACGCGTTCGGATGAGCGCGACGACCTGGTGGAGCGTCTGCCGCTTCGCGACTTGCTCCTGCTCTTAGATTTTCGTCGCCGCTGGTGATAACCGCGCTGCTGCTGCTGTTGCTGCTCGCGTTGCTGCGACTGCGTCTGCAGCTGCTTGCCCGCTTTACGCGCTTTGTCATGTTTCTTGGCGGACTCGCGGCTCGATTCGGACAAGCTGCTCGTGGATTCGGTGCTGCTCGACTCGGAGTCGGCCGATCCCGACACGGTGCTGCTCGCTTTCGTCATCTGCTGGTGGCCGTCGGCCGTCGGCGCGTTCTGCGGCGCCGTCGTTTGTGGACTTTGCCCGCCGCTCGATAAAGTTTCGGACGCTTCTCTTTGATTATTTACCGTTTCTTTTTCATCAACTAAAGTATGACGTCAGGAAGTTACACTTAATTGCGCAGCGGCCACATACGGTTGTGTTGTTATCTGTCGAAACATACCTGACTCCCGGCAGCTAGTATTACCGGTATGATTTTCTTGTTGTCTACTGTTTTGCTCCTCGTAACTACGCTGTTCCTCCTTCTCCTCCTCCTCAGCGAGACGCGCCTCAATTTCCTCCTCCGTCTTGCGAAATGCCTGCTGTCGACGTCTCAACGTTTCCTACGAAATCGGGATTCAATTTACAATTTAAATTAATATTTTCGTAAAATGATCTATTTAAAATATAGTTTGCTCCCAAGATCCGCTTACCTTCAGCTCTTCGTCGCTGTCGTCATCATGAATCTGCGCGTGTTCGCTTTGCTCTTCCTCGGACTCGCTGTTACTGTCGCCATAGATGCCCAGACCTACGGCAGATGGAAGACGAAATTACATCCGTTCAGCACGCGCGATATGACAATGTTTTTAAAATCGGAATGGATGTCAAAAAAAGAAAAAAAAACATACAAAATTCGCGGCTTCGATTAATTTTCGCAGCCGTTACTTTCATCAAGGAATATCCTGAGAAAAAGCGAAAGATCGAGATAGAGAGAAACATTTCTCTCGCGGTTGTGGCAATAAATCTCTACGAGCGAACGTCCGAGTTAATATCGAGTACATCCACGTATTGACCCGTGTCTTTTTTTCTTTTTTTTTTCTCTTAACGAGTTACTTGCGTCGTTTATTAGGCCGTTCCCTAAGGATATCGCCGTGTGTTATATCAAGTGTTGAAGCTTACTCACCGAGCTTGCGAGTGATCTGAGCAAGAGGGGCCGTGTTGTTGAGGGATGCGACGGGGGTCTCTCCTGCGGGGACTTACAATACACACGCATTTAGTAACCAAAGCTAAAAATGCTATTGCACGGATAAATGACCCCGCTAATATTGAATGACTCTTTATTGGCTCATTTTCGTAAGGGGAGGGGCCGATTCCTTCGTCCCTTCGCTTCCTTTCATGTACCTTAAGAAATCTTTACAGCATTATTCCACACTTATAAAAGTCGAACTAAGATATTTTGCGCGAAAAAAATTGATCGACATCGCGATTTGGTATATGCGGATTATCGTCGGAAAATGAGAGATAAGATCCGCATAAAACTCGAAACAAAGTTAGAAATAATTAAAAAAAAAATTCGGGTCGTAGCTAAGTGCCTCGAATGTATAAAAACTAAGCGATAAAACGTGCCCATGACGTAAAAATGGGTATATAAGAGAGAGACGTATAATCTCTAATTATTCTATTAAATATTATTAACTAATTATAACATCTATTTTTGTTAAAACAAATTCTGATTATATAAAATTCCGATTATAGATTATGGAAACACTTTGTTTATACTACAGTATAAATAAATATATAATATTAGAGTCTTTATCTCCTAAGGAGATATGTCGCGCGAGATGATTGTCAGGCATAAAAATGCCGGCGCGTGAAAAAGAGAAAGTCTCTAAAATCTACGGCACGTAATATGAAACGATTACGTGCTTAAAACGCGTGAAAGTGAGATATGCCTTATGCTAATCGCAAATCCCTGAAAACAAAAAAGCAGGATGTCCTGAAATTGCCGAATAATTAAGTCTACGCATTAAGGAATCTCTGTTTAATGCTTTCTTTCAACTTTATATTACACAATCGCACAGCTTCGTCGCAGCATGACGCGGCGAGTAGGCTCACTGAATCTGCGGACTCTGTGCTCCGACGAGCAAAAGCACGGAAATTCAATTGGTTAGTTCTATCGTGTGTATCTGGGGTACCTTTGGCACGTGCGCGGCTCCAAACCTCTCTGCATACTGTGGCAATCTCTTCGTTCGTTACCTCCAAAAGTATTTCCGTCAGCGATCGTCTTACTTTCAACATCTGAGACAGACAAAAAGTACAAATTATATTTCACATATTATGATATAAAATTAATTACACAGTTAATTAAGAATATTTGCCATCGAATTAATTTGTATTTTAGTTGATTTTTAATCTTGATGCTAATTCAACAATTTAACTTTGAATGTCATTTTTTGCTTACCACATCCTGGAAGATCTCGTCTAGAGATCGCTTTTGCGATCTGGAAGCGACCGCTGGAAGCGCGCTAGTCGTGGCGGTCGGACTCTCGTCGGCATCCGCGTGAGATTCTGGTGAGTCAGCATCTCTGAATCGTGACTTTCGCGGCCGAACAATGATATCCGGGGTACGATCATAGCTCTTATCTACAGATTGCGGCCCGCGCGCGCTACTCGCTACATCAAAATCCTGTTCAAATAGGATACTTGTGTAACTAATTGCAGTCATAAATTTCGAAATCAATCTACCGTGACCGTTTAAAGAAAAAAAAACAAAAATTTGTTTAACGTGATGTCTTCGAAATTTTCGATATTATATATACGATTGCTAAAATCTTCGTGATGTTTTGAATAAGAGACAGTTATTTATTTCGTATCTTTATCACAGGTAAAGTCCTAATTTTTAGTCTGATATTTACATGTGTGTGTGTGTATGTGTGTGCGTCTTCTTTCACACACAAAATTGGAATCTTAAATAGTTATATAATATATTCGTCCACACAATATTTAAAAAGGAAAAGTAAGCGTGTTCGCTGTTTAAATACATTTCCGTCTGTTTACGGTGTATCGAAACCGTTGCGCTCGAATGAACGATATATTTATAATACAAAAGTGCATACTACACAAAAGTAACTATCAGTGGACTGTCAAAAAACCATCGAGGAAATGACTGCATATTGGTGTTTCATCTCACTGCTATACTACGGATTCATCGTTCAGACAAACAGTCTGTTTCGCACACGCCAGATATTCCCGCCGCAGGAATATAAAATTAATTACACAGTTAATTAAGAATATTTGCCATCGAATTAATTTGTATTTTAGTTGATTTTTAATCTTGATGCTAATTCAACAATTTAACTTTGAATGTCATTTTTTGCTTACCACATCCTGGAAGATCTCGTCTAGAGATCGCTTTTGCGATCTGGAAGCGACCGCTGGAAGCGCGCTAGTCGTGGCGGTCGGACTCTCGTCGGCATCCGCGTGAGATTCTGGTGAGTCAGCATCTCTGAATCGTGACTTTCGCGGCCGAACAATGATATCCGGGGTACGATCATAGCTCTTATCTACAGATTGCGGCCCGCGCGCGCTACTCGCTACATCAAAATCCTGTTCGGTCTCCTTCTCAGAGTCAGAATCCTGAAAATCATGAAAAAAAAAGCGGCGGCGATATGTAATTTTCACAAACATACGAATCTGTCGAATTGAAACTGAAGTTTGAAAAAAGTGTAATATGAAATTCTAGATAAATAGAAAAGTGGCTGCAGCGTCGCGATTTTTGATTTTTCCTCCACCTGATTTCAGGCAGCCATGTTGAGCCTGTAGAAGAATAGACTACATGCTGCTATTCGCCATTTGCAGCTGGCACTTGATTAATGATTATCATCATTTTCAATTGTCAGCAGCATTCAATCGCCACACGTTTATACACGAAGCTGAAACGAACTCTATATGGCAGTGCTAGGAGTGGTAAGGAAGGTCCGCTGCCACTTTTCTATTTATTTAAAACTCTAGTGTAACGATGAAGACCTACAAATTTACTCTTGCTAGGATTAAGCACTGCACGCGCTTCATCTTCTGCTTGTTTGCGAGCCTCCAACTCTTGCTTTCTCAAGATCTCCAGCCGCTCTCTCTCCATAGCCTTCTGTTTCTCCTTCTCCATTTTCTCCAGTCCTTCACGAATCCATGCTGGTAACTGTCTCCGTTTTGCGGCGTCTATGCAGAATAGATCAACAGTAAGTTATAGCAAATAAATTACTATGTGTGTAATTCATAATTGCCAAACCAGCTGAACTCCAACTATAACAAGAGAATTATTTTTATTATACTTTCTAAAATTTTTACCTATAGTCGTAGTAGTATCTTCTTCCGGTGTCTTTTCTCTATCATCTCGACATCGGACCGGATCCATTACTCTCATATGTGGTGTTCTATTCGTATGCCTCATGCCCTTCATGAAAGGAGGCGGCTGTGGCGATATTGTATTAGGTGGATCTCCAGACCAATAATTAGTAACCTAATAAGGAAGCACGCAATAAGATACCTGATTAAGAAATGAATTGAAAACTTTGTAACTTTCTTTTGGTGAAAATATTCAGAAAACCATATAACATAGTTTAGACAATTGAATCCAAGAAGGAATATGACATAATGGTCATTTATAATGGCACAAACAATAGAACTTTTGAAAATAAATTTATCATATTTGAAACAATAGATCATGTATGTATAATATAAAGTATCTAAAAAAATTAGACATTAATAGCATGAATTTGTATGAGGAGATTATTAGGAAGAATTTAACAACTTTATTATTCTCTCTCTCTCTCTCTCTCTCTCTCTCTAACATATTATTATTGGTTACAGAATGTTTTTATCCTTTTTCAATTATACCTGATTGTACGATTGTGCTGGTGACACTGAATTGTACGAATACAGTGATGGTGCAGCAGGAGGGGGTGTATTAAAATCAGTGGTGGTAGATATTGTCGGCGCAGGTGGTATAACCGGCATAGTTGGAAGTCCGATTGGTTTGCCATCAGGACCTATAGTAACACCAGGTGGTGGTACGCCACTCCATTCCCAGCTTCCTGTTCCGGATGCTGAAGTGTTCCAGTGACCCCACTGGTTCCACTGAGTCCAGGCTTCTATTCGTATGAAAGAAAATGATATCTTATGCTGTCAACTTTGGTAATTATCTTGGTTATTGTCTCTTTTAAATATAAAATCTTCAAAATGACGCTTTCTCTCACCAGATCCACTGATGTTTGGTGCAGGCGGTGCTGGAGGCACTTCATCATCTTTGGTATCCATATCCATTGGTGCCTCGCCACTGCCATCATTTGCGGAATATATGGGATTTATAGTTGGTGGTGGTGGTGCTGGTGGTACAACTGTCTCTTTCATTTTGATCCACTGTTGCGCCAGAGCTGCCCAATCCACTGTTTCCAGACAAGCAATTACCAATCATTTATACATTATTGAGAACCACAAAGTGTGAAGATTTATAGAAGTATCTATTGTCGAAAATTACCTTGGTCGTTACTCATGTTTTGATAGGCGGTGGGATTGAGCGCCCACTGGGTCGGATAATCCTTTCCCTCAAACATATCCCCGCTCATCTTCATCTACGAAGGTAACGCAACGAGATTCTAGATCCAGCTGAGGTTTAACACAGTACATACAGTACTCTCTTGCCAGATTATTACAGTGTTCTCTATCACAGTACAAAGAATATATTCGGATTCCTTACATCGCTGAAGCAGAAATTCGGACTACAACTAATGAAAGAGCATTATTTGCGTACTTTTTTATCGCTCTCGCGGCGTTCAATGTTCCAATAAAATACGAATATATTCCACCGGAGTATTGCTATGTCGTGTGAGCGGAAATTTTATAACGCGAGCACTATTCTTATATACAGATCTCCTTGTGGTCTACCGGTTACATTTTCACCGGTATATACTTTTGCGAGATACAAGCAAAATTCTATTGCGTTCTCGAAAATGTTTTGCTGGATAAGGGATAAAATATCAAATCACATCAATTACATTTCTTCAACTGATCTTGTCACACAGTGTTACCAAATGAGCAAAGCGCGCGCTCCATTTTCTTACATCAAGCTCCGTTTGCAAAATTGTCTACATGAATTAAATTAAAAGCATGAATGGGCGCGTTCAGCAGAGAAAGCGCTCAGTTATTGTCTTGTCAACACTCGACGTTGATTTGTTGGTTCTAAAAGTAAGAGCCAATCACGTTCGATTGCTACTGAGCGGTTTTCTCTGCTGAACGCGCCCAATAACTCACAGACTTATTTAAGATGATGCAACGGCAGCCATATTTGATTTGGGCAGGATATATTTCTGAATTTCTTATCTCTCGTATATATTTCTCACATAATCATTATATTTATATATATATGTAAAAATAATTTATACTTTAATAATTTCCGGCAAACTGAAACATGATACGGACAATGTATATTAACCCAATCTATGTATTCTGTCCAAATCAAATATACCTATTCTTTTTAACCGCTATTTTTACGGTCTAGTTGTCTAGTAGAATATATAAAAAGTCTGGGATAGATTAGCATGGTTGATGTCCATTTATTTTATGTTTATTGATCAGATCTGATGTTCTTCGGAGCGATAGTAAAAAATTGTCCAATAATTCCCCGAGTCGAAAGTCGAAAGCTCTTTCAACAGCTTCAAATCAGTAGCAATTCACGGCGAACCGCATTTTTGAACGCACTTGACATCTGATGCTATTCTGCTATTCTAGGCCATTTTACTTCGTCCTGCGCGAACTCGCGAAGTGTCTTCGCAGACAGTAAGTGTGCATTAATTTCCCGTTTTTTCACACGCGACAAAACTCCGATCAGAATCGTGATATTATCCCGATTATATAACTCGGTCCGTTTCTCTGCGTGCGATTTTTTTTTTTATGCGCAATTTCCATTTTCGGCTCTCGACTATCTCTGTTATCAGTTAGGTAACATTCGAACTCGACAATCGTATGTAATTTCGGAGGTATAAAGTATTCCTGAATATTGACGTTTCTTGACAAAGATTATTAACTCGATGTCAAGGCAAATATCTTGGGGGTCACGCATTAACTCTCATGTTATATGACATTTGTGATAAAGGACTAGTCAAATTAAATATATATATATATATATATGTATATATACATACATATATCTTGGCAAGATTTAGTGATGTACGAGATTCGAAAAATGATAAAAAAAGATGCTAAATTATATATGTAGAATTGTCGCTATTGTAGAAAAAAAGTATCGCTTTTTAAAAATATAAAGCCTTGCCTAAATGTACAATATTCCAATATTTTTCAGTAAAAAATGGCAGGTAAACTATTCGCGAGTCGCTTACGACCCGTTATCCAAATACAAAGATGCGGATTGCTGACAGTGGATAGGATCGGTAATAGAGAGGTGGTTGGCTATGGATACAATGGTGAACCCAGTTATTTAGATCGAGTAGATTTCCCCTGTCCTGCAATACGTTGGAAGGAAAATACCCCTGATGTCATGGTAAGAAAAGAAGATAACAATGACATAATCTTTCATAAATCACTATTTGATTACAATTGTCAAACTACCATATCAGGCGCTGAGAGAGAAAGAAAAGGGAGACTGGAAGAAGCTATCTATTGAAGAAAAGAAAATTCTATATCGTGCCAGTTTTCGCCAAACGTTCAGCGAAATGGAAGCACCGACAGGAGAGTGGAAAGGCATTGTTGGAATGAGTTGTTTACTTATGAGCACTGGCATATGGCTATATCTATATTTCAAAGTATTTGGTAAGTTTCTATTTTGATATGACTCAATTCACTTTGAAAAATCTTGATTTAACACAATATTATTTTTTTTCTCTTTCAGCTTATCCAGAATTGCCAGAAACATTCTCGTTAGAACGCCGACTGGCACAATTAGATCGTATGAAGAAGCTTGACATGAATCCGATCGACGGACCCTTGGCTCGAAAGTAAATTAAATTATCTATTCTTGAATAATATAGTCTCACTATGTACAGTAATTTCCCTGAACACTTGTATATATGTACAAGTGGTTAAAATTTAATAAATGCCATGTGGTTACATTAGAGCGCCATTGATATTAAAATACATTCAAAATATCAGCATATTAAGTTATATGTGAAATGTGTAAATATAAATTAGTATATTAAAAATGTATGAAATTTAAGTTATTGGAATATGTCGAACTTGTGATTGAAGAAAAAGGTAAGTAAGATTTATTTCATTTCTGTACATTTCTCACACATTTTTCGCTTCATATTAAATGTATGAATACAAACTTACAAATAGAGATAATTATAAGTACAAGTCGCTGCCAGATTGACAATGTCTAAATCGGTCGCATAATCACTATCTCACTTTCCTTTCTCCTCACGCAAGTTTTCATAGAAAAAAGAAAGAAACATAGGCAACAGACATTAAATGCCTGTACTTTCGAAAGTTCGTAATTACACAGTTACGAACTGTCAGAGTGTAATATATTTAATTAATTTTTTTTTTTTTTTTTTTTTACAATCTCAATGTAACGGTTGTGAGACGACAGTACAATTCTACAAAGGTAAAGCTGCATTACTGATCGCGTTTTACATCGTTACATTATTGCTTATTTAAAAATATATATTCGCATGAATATAAATATACACGACTATCAAAATTTTTGGAAAATATGGAGATTATTATAGAGATTCATATTGCTATCAAGAAGTTTATAAACTATCTAACTGTTTTTAAATAATAACTCTATGAGGTAAAATCGCTTTCCTGAAAAGTATATAAATGACAAGAAATAATTAAGATCAGACATCGGCATCATTCATATTTATTAAACTCTTTTTTTTCTTTTTCATTTTCTTTTTTTTTTTTGTTTTTTTTACAGAAATTCCAATAATCGCTCGGGAAAATTCGATAAATATGAGTGATTACGAAGTGATTTCGTTATCAAACTTTCAATGTGTGTGATTACGAAATTCTGATATTTATAAAAAACACGTAACTTGCTGAGGATCACTAAGCGGTAATAATAATAGTTTACATAGTTTTAAAAATGTAGTATGGCTATATAATGCTTTACACAGTAACATTTAAATTATATATTTATATATATTTATATATATCTTTAAGCAATTGACAATTTAATTATTAAATTCAATCACAGCATACAATATTATATACGAAAGAGCTCTTTAAGTTAAACAATATACATGAAAAAAATACTGGGTATTATATAATTTAAAAAAGATTTGAAAGCTAATATCCTCAATTCACGTGACTAAATTAAAGAATTTAGGGATAATCCTTGCATCGCACGTTAAAAATCGTTGAACGTACAAAAATGCAGCTGCACCAGAAAAAATTTTAATCTGACATTATTGAAGAGATTTGTTACAATAAACACTCTATTCTCTGTCCTCTTAATTATTGCGTCAACGGAATGTAATATTCAATAATGAACTACGTCTACCATGATCGACGAACGTAATATACGGAGCTTTTAAGTAATGTCAAGGCCTTTTTGCGTATTGTCATATACATAAGTTTCATGAAATGCAATGTAAGATTCATAAATATCAGAGTCTTCGTTTTTTTCCCTTTGTATAATACAAACGTGTGTTTTAATTATCTGATATAAAAATAATACGTCATTGTTGAGGAGATATTAAGAATTATGTGAATTAACATTAAGAAATTAGTGTTTCTGTACAAAAGAAGGTAGGTACAGCAAATTTGCAGGAAAAAAAGGAATTGTTGCTACGAAATAGACTGCAAAGATTCGAAGCGTTGTCATCACGTTGTATGAGTGTATGTGTGTGTTTATGTCTCAAGATAATAAGCTATTTTTTAAAAATATTTTTATTCAAAATTTTATTTTCTTTTTATACCATCGTACTCCACTAGCGCGTGCACACACACACACACACACGCACATGAACCTGTAATTTTATTAAAATCTGAAAAATATACCAAAATTTTCACGATATACTTAATTTATATGTTTAGTAGAGAAAAAATATAGAGAAAAACAATAGTACATTCTCAAATAGATATGATTTTAACCGCGAATTTTTATAGTAAAACCATTGTAACAAACATTTTATTTTAGATATTTATAAATTAGAAAAAAAAAAGAAAAAAGACAAAGATTATATATTTATAGTAGGTAACTCTTAGACTTACTTCTCTATCTCTTTGATGATATATATATTACAATATGTACATTAGATAAGTCCCAATATCATCACAAATTCGCTGTCACCCTCTTGTTATAAGAATATAGTTCCATATAGAAAACTAAGTTTTTGTTGTCACTATCAGCGTGTATTTTATAGTTTTGTCTATTAAAATTCCCGAGAGAAAAATGTACAACTCATATCCGTGTGACCCCCCCCCCCCCATTCGTACTATATAAATGTATTATGATATATTACTCATCATGGCTGAACACGCAATTGCTATTTGACGATGACAATAATAACTTTCTGATTTTTGATAAACAATAATTGATAAAATATTACACAGGTATAGCCTGTACAATAAAAGTGAAATATAAACAAATCCTATCTCGATTCGCGATTAGAAATTCTGTACGTCTTTGGTACATAAATTTTTGCGTACAGAGAAAAATATGATTCTGGCAAACTGGAAAAAAAAAACACAAATATGTATATATATGTATATTATGTATAGCCATTTTCTGCTTGGGCATTCTTGTCTTGTACAAGAATTGTAAAATTACCAAACTGTAAGTTCCCTTAAAATTGTAAACTTTTTTTTTGTGCCCTTCTGTATATTTAATTGAAAATAATAAAGAAGAGAAGAGGAGAGAATCGTGTAGGATGATTCGGTTGTTATGTGATCGACGTTAATCGCTGTCTTTCTATCACACAGTTATGATATTGAGCTCGCTACTTAAGTGACGGAAGTAATGTCCAAAATTATCATGTACGTTTCATCACCGTACACAATCACCGGTCCCACGCTGCATCGTACGCTGCTTCTTGCTCTTCATTATGTTTGGCCTAGAATTCGGACTGTGACTAGTATTATTGTTATTGTTATTATTGTTTCCGTTATTGTGGAGTGCGTGCTTGATTTTGTTTTGACCGGCTATATTGTTGTTGATGTGATAACTGCCTTTGAAATTCTGTTGGTGATGAGCTGCAAAAGAAAAACGTCGACAAGGTAACACTGGGGCAACGCGGAATAAACTCGAATATTATATTATTTATATCATCTCGTTAAACATTTGTTGTGGCAATTTTGTAATACACACATAGGTAGCAAACAGAATCGCTTGAATGACGTACCATGAGTAATTCCCTTGAAGGTTTTCTTTCCTGGATAAGGATGAATTTGCTGACTATTATAAATGTGCCTATCTCTGTTTTTATCATTATCATTTTTCCCGCCAGTGTTCGGAGAATTGCCACGACTGCACTCGGAATCCTTAGAGACAAATTAGTGATCCAATATTAAAAACAATTTCATTGTGCCACACATGTCATAATTATGTTTTGAGCTATACAATATTATTCTCCATATGTGTATGTATAAATATTATGAGACGTGAAATAAAATCAATATTAAAGGAAGATGTCAATGAAATACAAAGAAATATGAATAAAGATACCGATATAATGATATAATAAAAGATTTAATAAAGATAATAATCCATTCTCAGAATATTTACCGTATCACTGGCAGGAGCTGAAAGAGTAGATGCATCAGAACCAGTTGAGCTTGACAGAGAATCTCCTTCACTTACAGGTAGTGGGAATGTTTCTTTGATCCACCTACGGTAATCTATTACTTCGTCGGTCACGCGGATTATTCTCCCTAGAATGCTGCATATAATAAAAGTATATCATTTATTACAATTTTCGATATCATAAAAATAAAATAAAAATTTTAGAAAAACATTATAAAAAGAAATTATAGGTTTTACTTTACCTTACTTTACTGGCGTCATTAACTAAGATATTCAAGGGGTTGACTGCTTGAGTAAGGACAAAATAAGCCCAATCAAATGCATCTTTTACATACAAAGCGCCGTAACTACTACGGCCAATATCGTTTCCGGGTGTCAGTGGGTCTTCTATACATAACAAGGATGGCCGATGGCCATCTATCATGTCTCGTTGAACCTGTTAATTAATATGTAAAACTATTAGTAAAACGCTTCTATATTAATACATAAAATTCTAGCTACTGTAAGTGTAAAAAGTTATTAGACCTCCTCTTTAGATATGTAAGTACCACCATCCTTTACACGAATGCCAGTGTTAACATAATTGAAATTTCTGCCATATAGTTCTAGAAATTCAATCAATAGCACTCCCAGATTAGCGTCTGAACAAGAAGCTTTTTTTCTCGGATGCATCTGAAGTAATTAAAAAAAGCCATTTGTGATAATTGATTTTGGCTGCAATTTGACCTAATTAGCTAATTAGGATTCTAACATATTTGTTATGATGATTAAACTCACTTGTAAAAAACTAATGGTCATGAGTATTAGACTATAGGAGGATATACCACCGGTAAACACTTCGTTAAGATCTCTCTGTAGTAGGAATTGCTTCAACACCATGACTAGTTTCTCTAGCACTGGATATCGCTTCTTAAAGGAGTTTATCAAGTCCGCAGACTTGACGCCGTTGTTCATGTTAAAACTGATATCCACTTTAATCTCGCTTTCTTTGTCGGTCAGTTTGACGATCGGCACGCTGGCCTTGTCCAACACTTTGATAGATAATGGCTCAGCGATATTTTGATCTAGTAAAGCACGTTCCAAAGTACGTAATGGAAGATTTGTCCACATCCCTATTACTACCAAGTCTATGTCACTGTAATAACAAAAGACGAAAGGTATTGTCTATATAGTTTATGATATGTAATGATTTTTATTACATGCAACTATAAGCTATTATATTTTTCTTACTATTTTAGATATATTGTGTATTGTGTGAATTGAACATTTAAATTGTTTAAAAATCTGTTAGAGAGAGTATTATCTATTTTGTGAATGATTTTGTAACAAACAAATATTAAGTTATCATTTTTGTATAAATATCTTTGTATATCACATACCTTGTAGGCAAATATAAACCAGTACTAAAACTGCCAAACACCTCGACTTTAGAGTCTGGCCAGAGATCATAAATTACTTGTTCTATTCTCTTTACAACTCTTATTCTTAAAACGTGTTCTTCGTGTGAGGGACACATGTATGCAAAAAAATCTTCTATCTCCTCATGTAATCTAAACAGAATACATAATTATATGCACAGTATTACCCAGAATCAGTTTTTAAATATTCCTAAGGTGTCTTTTTTTTCTTTCCATTGTTCGATTATTCTCTTTTAATATATACATTTTGAATATACAAAAAAGTTACACAAGGTGATGAAAATAACATGCAAAATATTAAATTAAAAATATTTATAAATATCTATATGTATATATATATGTATCTATTAGT